ATTTAAAAAGATTAATAGGGAACTACAAAACAAGTTAACACGTACTGTTACCAAATAATGCAGAGTGATTTTTCAGTCTTAACTTCAACAATTAAAAAATGCTAAATTGAACAACTATGTCACTAAATCTAATCATAAGCACAAGGTATGAATGTACAAAAAGGGATAACAAATGCAGTGATTAATCTTCTTTAGTTGAGATTTATGATTGAGAAAAATATACAGTACACAGTAATAAACGATGAAGTTTAAAAGCAGTCTGGCTCTTAAAAATCCTTCAATATAATGATTGACAAAAACAGTTACAATGAGGAAGAAAATTTTCGTTTTCATTTTGAACAGAGAAAATAGGAAGTTGTGTGAAAGGAAGACAGTTAGGCAAGAGGTAATTACTTCTACGGCTGGTAAAACAATAGTCAGTCCATTAAAGCTAAAACCCAGAATAGGTTGTCACATTAATTATAAATAGATAATTTTTGGTCACAGAAAATATATCACAAGAAAGATACTAACACCAAATGCAACATGCGTATTGTCATTGGAAATCAAAATTAATTCTTAACTCAATGAGAGTCATTAACAGTTCATTTCAGGCCTTGAGTTTGGTGAGAAAAAATAAAACTATATAGGTAAAACCTGGAGTACAAATTACAATTTTATGTGATGCATAAGACAAATTTTATCTGAGCAAAATAAAAGAATTGCTTACATTTAATTTTTTAATCACAGAAAAAGACTTCTCTGATGGAAAATTTAGCAGCTTAAGTACATTTGGTTCGTTTCATGAGATTCATGATAATAATAAGGTACATTACTATAATCTATGGAGATAGGTTAAGCACATCAATTATATGCAGACATATCACAACTTAGACTTCCCTTACATGGTGCCAGAAGTCAGTGCTGGATGGAATGGGCAGGGGTACAGGTATAGGTGCTGCAGGTGCCTCAGCAGGGGGAGGGAAGGGAAAAGCGCGAACATTAGCATTGACTTGGCTAGTGCTTGGGGCCTCATCCTCTACTGTGGGATGATCATGTCCATTCTGATGGCAAAATCTCTCAGCTATTTTTTCAAGCTGTGGTTGAACATAACCAAGAAGAGGCCTGGCTGCTGGGTCACCTGACCAGCATTCTTCCATCAACTGCCAACAATCCTGGTCAAAATGTGCAAGTTGCTCTGGACGAATTCCTGTAACCAATAAAATAAAAACATAAATTTAAGACTAACACTTCCAAAATTGGTTTCAAAACAATGCTACAAGCACGAAAAAAGAAGGAAGGGTCTGTACCTTTTCTGACACTAGTCCACAGTTGTTCTTTATTATGAAACTGTTCAAACGCTGCTGGTAATTTTACACTGCCAGCACAAATATACCAAAGTAAAATGCCAAAAGCATAGACATCAACACTAGAATCATAGTGGCCAGAATGCATTTCAGGAGCCATATGAACAGGAGTTCCGACAATACTTCCTGACATCATAGCTTCTGGTATGCAGAATCCCAAATCGGTGAGCTTTGCTCGATTATCACAGTCAAGCTAGAATAAAATTCAAGACATAATGCAAGATTGGTAAGCAAGCATGCTACATCAAATCAAAGTTGAAAGAGAATAGAAGTACTTACAAGAACATTCTTGAGTTTGACATCCCTGTGCACAAGTCCTTGTGAGTGCAAGTATCTGATACCTTCTGCAACATCGATGGCAATTTGAAGACGTGTTTTCCAAGGCAATCCAGAACGCAAGCCAGAGTAGAGATCTCTTGTCAGACGATCCATGACAAGCAGAACAGCAGGGGAACATCCTCCTCCGTAGCTGTGATCAACAACAGATCCTCTGAGTTTTACAATACGAGGATGTTCAGGGACAGTCCTGTAAAAAAAAAAAATTGAATAACAGTTACAAACAGTTAGTTAAAAAATACACTGTTCACTGAGGTCCTACAGTCAAACATACCTTGTGTAGTAAAATTCCATAGCCAGATCATTCCAATGCTTTTCATCAGGTGGCACGACTGATTTAACTGCACATGGACCAGTTCCACCCCATGACTCACATGAGAACACAACACCATACTGACCACGACCAATTTCTTTCCCAAGCTGAGGCATACCTAGAACAAGAATTTGAAGTTTAATACAATTAATACAGAAGTGTATAATAGCAGTTGTGCACAAGGGAAAAGAATAAAGCAATGCATACTAACCATAGCGAACCATATCAGCAATGGATGTGGTCTCCAGTGCCAATCTGGCAAGTCTGGGTGCATGATGTCCTCGGATAGCTACTCTTTGCTCTTCAGTCTTTTCTAAATGACCAGTATAATGATTGGCAAGAGATCTCAGAGCAGCCAGGAATGCTTCATGTGACAACCTGACACGTTCCCTAAACTACATGACGGAAAAAAATTAGATAAAACATCAACTAAAAGAAGAAAATAAATGTTTGTCTGATTTACCAACCTGTGATGAGATAGATTTGGCTAATCTTTGAGGACTAAGATTTTCTAACATTTCTAGCGCAACCCTTCTCCTCCAAACAGCATCAAGGCGTGGGGGAGCACTCCAAGGCAACTGAACACTGTACAGAAGCTGACGCAGGCGCTCCATAAATCCATGAAGCAAAGAGGACGATGTAGATGTAGAAAGTTGAACAGAATAAGCAGCACTCAAAATCTAAAATATTTAGTAATTTTTAAAAATATTAAACCAAAAATGTAAAGGCATTTTTATTGTTTGTAATAAATTATGGGCACTTTATAATCTTACTTGTTTTAAAGCATCACTTGCAAGTTGTGGTCCTTGATTGTTAGAGACAACCAATCCTTGAGATTCAGTACAACTAGAAAGATCCCAACTTTCTGAGGCCTCTTTAGAATCTTGAGATACAAAAAGATCTGGCTCTGCTACATCTCCAAGTTCTGCCCTATCTGTTCTTTCCAAACTACATAAAGTTCTTAACAATGTTCCAACTACAGAATCCTGTAGACAGTCCATTGAACAAACAAGTCTCCGTGCTACAGCATGGGAAAGACGAGATAAAACTAACTGCTGAATTTCTGTGGCAGCCAAGCGAACTGCCCGGGGAGTGCCTTCAGGACCACTTTCTCCAGCAGCTGAAAGACTTCCTCCTGAGGAATAAGGATTAAAAACCAAGGGTAATGGCAGAAAGAAATTGGAGTTAAATTCATTTCATGTCTCAACTTACCTCTGTACTGGTATTGGGCAGCTTCTTCAATTAATTCAGATTGCATAGTTTCTAAAGTATTCTCAATCAAGTCTGTAACCTCAGCCTGCTTTTCACTTGCCATGGCAACAAGAGCACGATACAGTTCAGTTTCCTTTTCCAAAGCATATCGCATGCGTCGAGGAGTAATCTGAATTTCACGAGCTTTGTCAAATGCACAAAGAATAAATCTGCGTAGTATAGCACAATGAACCTGAAAGATAAATAAATGGACAGATGATTTAAGAATAATTTCTAAAATTACAGAACAGGAAGAGTATCATAATAAATACGAACCTGATTCAGATGCATTGCTACAGTCACGAGGTGAGATCTAAGGACACCTCTGGCAAATTGATTTAATCCGAGGAGCTGATCTGAGCCAGTTGATAGGCATGATTTGCGAACATATCGTTCACCACGCACGCCACTTTTAGGTGTTGGCCCACATGCTTCATCAGGAGAAAGGAACCCTAAATCCCAAGAGAGTAAATCATTACAGAACCATGGAAAAGAAATTTATACCATTTCTATACTAAAGAAATTTAACAAACCCAAATTTTCTAGTTGCTGAGCTAAATTTTGAATTTCAGAGTCTCTCCTCCACGGTCTTCCTTCTATCTTGGTTTTAACTTCTTGATTCTGTGAAGCTCCATTGCTCTGTTGATGTTCGTGCTCCAATTCATGTTGTTCTGATTCTGTTAGTTCCATTGTTGGATCACTGGCAGCTGCAGAGTTTGATGAAGAAATATTTGGTGATGTCATTGTAAAAAATATGGGGCTGTCTGGTGCTAGCTGCTTTAACTCGTGGAGTTCTGCTACATCCTAAAACAGAATGATCTCAAAGTAGTGTAAACCATATTTGAAGTATGAAGGAATATATTGGCATTCCACAGTGCTTACCTTTTGACTTAATGAAGGTTTATCCATAACATAGATTAATACAGGAAGAACAGAGTCACATTGTAGCATGTGTGAAAGGCTAGCTCTTTCATCTGATTGAGAGTAATCCAAATTGGGGACAACAAGAATAGTTGATCCATCTCTAACAACAGGATGACAAACTTGCACTTCAACAACTGCTAAATGCTCCACGGCCATCTAGAAAGAAATAACAGGAAACCTTAAGATGACAAACCAGGAATGATAAGGAGCTGAAAAAGGCTTGAATGGAACCTTACATCTTCCCCAGCTGGCCTGATCAGATCTTCTTCTGGGACAGTACTCAAAGGTTTTTCATGTGCTTGCAGTTTTTCAACCACCTCAAACTCCAAACCCACAGTTAGCGCTACATGACCAACTCGCCCATACAAAATCCTTGACCACCTGCAAATTCACAAAGCAGGAAAGTTACAAAAAGTTTCTAGGCAAGCACTGGTTGAAAAGCAAAACAAATTTATCCACAAAGCAAACTCTACCTCCAATCTCCCCCTGAAATAGGGAGAAGGTTTGTCTCCAGTAGAGCATTTACAAATTGAGCTCTTGATTTGCATGACTGGCCTAACACAACCAGAACAGGACGACCTTCGAGGAAACGAGATAGTTGTTCAAGTTGGTGAGTGGTACCAACTTCCAAAAGCTCCTGCTCTACTTCTTCTGCAATAAGAAAAACGAAACAAAATGTGACAGTTAAAGTTGAAAATTCAATTCATCAGATCAAAACAGTTTAAAGAAATGGAAGTAAATTTTACCTCCTTGGAAAAATCCAGCATCATCTATTTCTTTCAATGAACGACTTGTCTCAGACAAAATGCGACTTAGAAGTTGGGAGCTTCGCATGAATTTGCGAAACTCATGAGGGAGACTTGTAGCCATGGTATTGACAGGGTCTAAACAAATATAAAATCAGGTCATGGGACAAAAAAGTATGAAATGTAAGTATTATAAACTTCTTGTTTTCATTGACAAATGACTTGATGCCAGTAGAACAATGAATTGGGTCACAAGAGAATAATACCTGAATACCAGATTTTCGATATTTATTCTGCATTATTCCAAAATGAAGTGGAGTGTCAAGACATAATTAAGAAAACAAACACAGACTTGAAGCCTATCTCACATGTGTACTAGAGTATTATGCCTAAACAAGAAGACGAAAATTGGCAAAACCAGACAATGTTGAATTTCTTTGATAGAGCGAAAAATTAGTGACGTTGCAAATCAGCTTGGCACGTACAGCACGTACAATGTTATCGTTTCCAAAGGGCATGACATGTATGTACCGTAGCGTTAGGCCTCATCTTGACAAGGACTGCGGACTGCGACGGATCAAACTAACCTTGGCGGTTGACACATTATGCTCAGGCATGCTCAGGTAAATTCAGGACCCCACACATGACTCACCATAAGATTTCCGATGAATGCAGTCTGAACTGCATGAGTTGTAACCAGGCTGTCTGTTTTCTTTGCAACAAATCGTCTAAGATTAAAGAATCGTTCTCACAGACGGCATGAAAAGGGGGGCGAATGGCGGAGCACGGGCGCGAACGCACACACAAGTAAAACTAAACACAAAACATAACATTGGCATCGCACGCGGACTATACTCTTACGAGACTCTTCAGGCGTGATCGCACGATTCGTATTGAAATTGTAGTTCAGAATTATTCCGTCACTGCCTTCGCTTTATTTTCTAGTTTATGTTGTTTGTTGCTTGTGTTGTGTTGTTGATGAGTGTTTTCATTGAAATTTCTTTAGGTTAGAGAGATGTTATTCCTATTTTATTGAACACCGTTTATGGGTAAATTTTATTAATATATGTTCCTTGTCGTTTTCAGAGGAGACGGAGGTTTCAACTGCTTGTTGATTGATTGATTGATAAGTCAAGTTGTTCTCTGCAACTTTGTCTGCTATCTGTCAAAAGAAGTACTTTACTTTTCAAAATCAAAAAATGAATTCAAATCAGCCTCCATCGTTGAATCAGTATTTCAACCAAGACACAGCCCCTGCTGTTTCTGGTGCCACATTTTTTGACCAAATATCATCTCCAACATCTGGAACCCCAATCGATTCAGCCATGATGAAAAGTGTTCGAGAGACTGATCCAGCTCAAGATCTCTTCTCATCGAATGTGGTGAAACCAACGCAGCAGAACCCTGTCAACACAGTTTTCAGCAATGCGTCACAAGCTGCTGCTACTCATTTTCATGAAATTAGCTCAACAGGAAAAGGTGAACCAGCTGTGTGTAGGATTTTTTCAGAACCTGAATCTCCACCATCCAACATATCTTCTGGAAAGAACTTTTTTGATCTCATAAGCTCTCCACCTTTGGGACCAACACCAGGAATAGCAATAGATTTAAGTCTTCCTCCAAGTAGCTCAAGTAGTTTGCTAACTTCACCAGACTTTACATCGACTGCAACCGAAGACGGTTTTATATCTACAAATTCTTCAGTAGCTGCTACACCAACAGCCACTCATGATATATTAGCTTCGGATGATTCTTTCTCTAAAAGTGCTGGGTTCCGCCCTAATGAGGCAGACAGGCGACGAGACGCATGGATTCCTTCGGAAAAAACTCGTCAAGCACTTATTGCTATGGCAACCTCAGCACCTGGATCTTACATTCCAGACAAAGATATGTTAACCATGCCAGGTGTTTGTATACAGGAAGATATGACTGATTTAGTCACTGACATGGTTCAACAATACTTAGGGTCTGAAGAAGCCAGTAAAAGAAAGGTTTTGACAATGCAAGATGTCACCCAGGATGAAAGAGGATTACGGGAATTAATTCAGGTAACCAAACTTGCCACATAACCATTAGCATAGCCTCTTATTTTATAAGTATTAATTTGTATCTATCTACACTTCGCAGGCTGGTTGTTTTAGAGCAGCTGTCAATTTGACAGGAAGACTTCTGACCATTTATGGACAAGGTGTTGGAAGGTCAGGGAAACCTAGTAAACATACCTTACATTCCATTCAGGTAATTTTCATGATAAGTTACCATTATTTTAGACTTAAAAAACTATCATTTGATGTAATTGTATTCAAAAATTAACTGAATCAAAATTTACAGCTTTGGTTTACACGCATAGCACTTCTGGTGAAGCTAAAGCAGTTTTCTCTGGCAGAAACAGAGGCAGAAAGATTCTGGGATTTTGACCGCCCTGACCTCTATTTCCCATTTTACCCAGACTTGTATGGGGGAAGGATGGGCACTTTGATTCCCTTTAATTTTCGATTGCTGCTAGCAGAACTTCCGTCACACACAGGGAAGCCAAGAGAAGCTTTAAATAGACTCCATTCTGTGTTAGCTACTGTTAGAAAGGTAAGTTTTTCTTCTTCATGAAAAAAACAAAACAAGTATGGGTGAAAAAATATCACTGTTTTCAATACAAAATATTTTGTAAAACGTTTTTATGCCATTTTGGAAAATTTCGTAACAGATCTTGAAAAATCTCGAGAGCGGACTCAGTGAGGATGGAAGTCCTGCAGAGCTTAATGCTGCAGATTCTACTGAATCCAAGCGCCTTTGGTCTAATAGGGAAATTAGGACTCTCCATTCTATTGTAAATTGTTCTGTATCCTGCAAGGTCGGTAGTTAGGTATTTACTTACTTTGGAAATTTTCTACTGCGTTCATCTACTTATGTCTGATTTTTCCACAGAACTATAGCCTGGCTTTAGAAGTACTTGAACAGGTATTGCAGAAATCAAATGAACTTCCCCCTCTTCACAGACGGGCTCTTCTCTCTGCTCTGGGACGGCTTCATTTGCAGCTGGGTGATGTAGTTGGGGCAGAACAGTACTTTTTAAGTGCTGGGAATTTACATAAACAATCCACTGCGTAAGTATAAAACTTAAGAAGAAATAAAAAGATTGATTGTAATTATCTGTAATTGAATTTTAATTTTAAAAAACAATATTTGCAGAGCAATAGATGGGAAAAGTGCTCTCTCAAGTAATACCCCAGATCTTCGTGAATTCATTGACAGGGGTCTTTTAGCTGTTTCTCAAAATGCTTTCCATGAGGCATTAGAAAGCTTTCAAAAAGCAGCTGACATGGACCCTGCCAATATCATGGTTTGTTGTTGTGTATTCTTTTAATGATAAAAATTACAGTAGGTGCTTTTTAACAATACCTTAATTTTTAATTCAGGTTTTAAATAACATGGCTGTATGTCATTTGTACCTGGGACGACTCAGAGAAGCACTAGCCATCATGGAAAATGCTCTTACAAGCAACCCAACTCAGGGCTTACATGAAGCCTTGCTTCTCAACATGAGTACACTCATTGAGTTTGAATCATCTCATTGTAATCAAAAGAAATTAGGTTTATTGAAAATGTTGGCTAGATACAAAGGTGATGGTGTTTCTGTTGGTTGTTTAAAGCTCCAATAACTTTATTATATTTTATTTAAAAAAAAATAGCAAGTGATTATGGTTGTCCAGTCCAGTTTTCAGTCACTAAGTGAATATTAAAATTTAGACCTAAGTTTTTAGAAAGTTTTTAGGTAATGTTACTTCTGCTATTGTTTCTTTCCATTTTAAGTGTATGCAAATGTCTTAGAAAATGTTTATGTTGCAATCCTTGTTGTGTTTTAAAATTTTAAAAAAATAAATAGGGAAAAAACACTGTTCCGTTGTTTTGTTGCATTTGCTTTACTCTAGTCTGAAGCAGCATTTAACAGCATTTAACAAAAAACTTATCGTACTAGCAAACGCTTCACACTCATGCACCCGACTTGCATTACAAGGGCTCAAGCGACTGAATGCGTTCTTCCTTCGCGGTCGCGATTGCCTGTGTTTACAACATGTTTATCGACCTCAGATCAGCCCTGGCCGCACGGCCCTCCCTGGCCCACCGCCAAAATTTCTTGAAAACAGGCAGGGGAAAGGGAGGGAGGGGGGGTAAGGGGCAGCGAATGTCTACAATTCTCCCTCGTGATTGCCAGGGCAAAAGTAAAGAGGGCTTTTGCCAGAGCCGCTCAGTCCGTCCTGGCCTGGCCCGCGGCCCATGAGTAAACCCTTGCCACGGCGCGCGGGGTGGGGGGTAGGGAATGCCTCCCCCGGCGGCGCGGCGGCCGCGCCACGGGCCTCGCTATTTCTGCGCACGCCAAAAAAGACGCGCATTCCTTTGCAGTCTATTTGCATCGGCGGTGGGAGGGGTGGGAGGTGGGGCTGGCCCCTAGGCTGGCCCTCTGGCGCGTCCCTTTGGTCGCGTGCCCGCGCCCCGGCGCTCTCTCAAGACTCGGCCCGTCACCCCATGCTTATTCACCCTTTTCCCCCTCGGGCGGGCTCCTGCCGTCCCGTGCTCCCTCGCCCTGGTGGACTCACAATCAGGCATTTACACACGGCGTGTATTCACCCAGACTGGTTTCCTGTTGTCCCTGACGTCCCTTTCTGCCGCGGTGGAAGTCCCGGCCATGTAAGGCGGGGCCGCAGAAGGAACGGGACTACCCCGACAGTCATGGCCCCACAATGCCCGGCCCGGCCGCCAGAGCGAAGCCTTGACTTCCTCCCCTTGCCTGCCACGACCGTAAGTCACCCTGGGTTTCTTCCCGCGGCCCCGGACGCCACCGCCCCTGTACTACTACTCTGCGGAGGTGCGGAGGACGAGGTCGCACCCAGCCTTCCAGGGTGCGGACGAGGACAAGCATCCCCTTGGCCGCCGGCACCACCGGCACTTCCCCCACCGCGGGGCCGTGGCGGCATCGACTCGGGATTGCCCCCTGGGCCCGCCTGCTCCGAGCCATGGCGTCACACCCGCTGCCTACCTCACAGGCGGGGCGGGGCGCGCGCCTTTGACGTCAATGGCGATGGGCTCCGCAGGGCGGGGCGGGGCGGCGCGGGGCGTGGGGCAGCCCCACACGGGCACCCCGGCGCCATGGCCCGGGCGAGGCGAATTAGACCACGCAAGGCGAGGCTCTGCTCTGCGCGCGTGGCACCCACCCGCGGGCCCGCGGGTCATGAGCGCGGGATTGCATTACGCAGAAACGGCCATCACTCGCGATACCTACACGAGCGTGACGCGCGACCGCCGCGAACCTCAGGCCGGGCCGAGCGCGGGGTTGCAATGGGGTGGTGGCCGCAAGTTGGCCGCGCGCGAGGTGGCCGCAGGTTGGCCGCGGGGTAGCCGAAGGCTGTGGTGGCTGGCCGACTCCGGCAGCGCGTCATATCCCCCGCGCGTTTCACGGAAAAGAGGAGCAGAGTCCGCGCGGCGGGGACAACCCCACAGTCCGCGGCGACACGCGGATACGCGGAGGGGCGCGCGGGGCCGCTGGGACGCAAAGTCTCACCGGCCTGCAAAGTGTCGGGGGGTGAGGGGATTGGTGCCGCCGCGCATATATGGCATCACGAATAACGTCATGCACACCTCCTTCGTGTTTCTCATGACGGGTGACGCCGCGAGTCTTTCCTTATCGATCCGGTCGCGATATATATTTTCCCGGCATTATTCACAGCGCACAGCCCCCCGCTGCTCGCGGCCGGGCCCCGCGCGGTGAGGTCAGTGCTCGCCCGCCTCCTCCCCCTATAGCCTAGCGCCACGCGCGCGGGGCCGTGGCGTGCGCGGCCGGCACGCGGGACGCAAATAGTGACCTGGACCTCGCCAACGCAGCGCCCCGGAGAAGACAGCGCACGGGGAAGTACCCCTCGCGATGCACATGGCCCGCGCCGGCCGCGCCGGCCCTCGGCCACCCCACTCGCGCGGCCCGCGGTCCGCCGCCGCGCACCACACAGGACTATTTTTGGCTCGGAATCGAAGTCAAAATCGATATACAAAGCGCGAGGTGAGCGCCGCGGCGACAGGGCCGCGTGCGGGTGACGGGCTCGCCCGGGCCCTCCTGCCCCTGCACTGCTTACTCGCGTCCTCCCCAATAGTATTTCTTTCTAGACAGTCCCCAAGACTGTCTGTACTAGAGGGCAAAGGCAAAGTCCTCTCCCCCTCCTCACTTTCTATATAGCACAGAGCGGGCCCTTATGTGTGTGACTGGTTTGAATATTTTGTTTTGGGTTTGTATGGGCCACAGGAGGTTGCAGCAGGGTGGTGTGGGTGGTGACGGGTTGGGTTTTTTTGACTGATTGGCACTTGACTTGCGAATGCCATCGGGAAAGCACGGGGGGCCGCGCGTCGGATGACCCCAGCCCCCAGGTATGTGGAGTAGGAAAGGTCCGTGTGGAACAGAAAGTCAAAGTTAAACCATTGACTTCTTTTCTAATGTCAAAATGACGCATCGAGCATGCATCATTCATCCTCTGTTCACACGCGCGGGCGCGCACCGGCGGCCGGCGGCGATTCATGATCCCCACTCAGTAATGATGGGCAAGATCAGCGGGAGCAGCGCCTCACCTCATCATCGCCGCACACGGTGACCAATCTCAGCTCCAGACGCCGCCGTCCCCGCCTCGCCCCCGCCCCGCCCGCGCGGTTGGTCACTGACTCAGCAGCAGTGATGCTGCTACTCCTCCTGTGCGCCGCCTCCGCCCCGCCGCACGCCCTGCTCGTTCGCACGCGCATCAGAGGCGTATCCAGAGTCTTCTCCGGCGGGCGGCCGAGAATGGAATTCGGACCGGAACCGCGGAGCTCGGCTCGGCGACGACGACGCGACGCCTGGAGCCCCCCGCTGGACCTGGAGGAGCATGTCTGGAGTCACGTACGTCAGACCAGGACGGGTCCGGGCCGGAAAAGATGTGGCGGTAGCGCGAAAAATAAAAAGATGGACAAAACGTCATGCTACGCTGCCGGAGCCCGGTCTGGAGTCCAGTCCCGCTGAGCGCGGGGATAACCCGCGGTCGCGGTGCGGCATCAAGGACCAGAGGAGGGGCGTGGGGGCGGGCAG